GTTCCACCTTAGGCCAAACACAAAAGCCCCAAATCACCTTGGACCCTTCCCGTCAACGTATAATTTAAACCGGAAGTCTATGATCTTACCCCTTTCGTTTTCTTTGCTTTCCTTTGCTTGTCTGTTCCCCATTCCAAACCGCTGATAATCAACTTGTAATATTCAATTTTACACACTTTCCAACCACGCTTTATCTCATCCGTATTGTGCGATCAACGCGCATTGTTTCAGGCAATAGTTGTGACATAGGTATTCACAAGGGAGTATCACAATCTTTTAAATAATACAGGGAGATGGTCTTTTTATATTCAGTTGATTTATAAGTAATTCACTATTATTATCATCATCATTATTATTATTTACATTGATTTCTTTTAAACATCTCCGCGTTTTTCAAAACAATATGATTTTAAGATTCTCCCCGAGGTGGGTGAGTGCCCATTTTAGGTTGAGACTGGATGAGCGAATATGGCGTGCCATTTTTGAGCAGGCTTTTCAATATATTGTAACAGGTCTACGGTCTTTCTTAATGCATGTGTTTGAAGAAAGCCACGCGCATGACTCGCATGTAGCATCCTCAATAGTAATATTATGTGTTAAACAATCTCTTCTCCAAGTGCGTCCTGTGCGAGCACAGCAATAGCTATTGCCTCAATTGCAGACCTACTAGATACTCCTATTGCTCGGCTTTCCCACATGCCTACGTTTACATGTATAATGTAAACTGACAGGTGGTTCTATGTGACATTCAAAAGTTCCGTGATTCTTTCTGGTGATCGATCCAAAAGTTAAGCACTATCCAATAATTAGCGTTTCATGTCTGTATCCCTGACTGTAGCCGAGTCCTCGTTGTTACAATCCAGCTGCGATTTTATCTCGAATGTCCATTTGTAATCCAATCAGTTGCACAAAATGCAACTTCATTTTTTCTACAAATCGGGGGTTTTCCTGGTAATTGAGTTACTAGATGAACTGTGCTTCAGATAATTTGTCGATCAACGAATTATCCCGATCTATCACGTCAATTTAGTCTGATTTATTTAGAATTTGCTTCCAAAAAGGGTTACGTAGAAAGAAAAAGAAGCGTTTATCATAAAAGATGGGCTAAACTTTGGATATTAACCTGTAGAACTGCCGCCTAAATTTTGTGCTATTAGATATAAAGTCAAAGAAAGTGGATGCTTTGAACGATAATCATTGTTCTAAACGGAACCCCACATCAAATTCAATGAATGTTGGATGAATGAAGAACTGGGCACTTCGTGTCCAGAGGAGAACAAAATAGAGTATGCAAAATGTTGGGGTTCCGAAATGGCTGGTGATCATGCACTGAATACCCTTGTTCAACTTATGCAACTTCCTCTAAAACAAGGTTATCCTACTGATAATGAAGTGACCTATGCAAATCGATGGTAAGCAATCAGAATTTAACGTTCATCCTCAGGTATAATATAATTTTACAGTGTTGGCCAGCATTTGAAGATTTTTAGAGTTTTCTATGATAAACACAACTGTAGAACAGACTCTTTTCCATATTTGGCGTTTTATCAAACATTTTATAGGCTAATACATCGCCTCTCGAAGGGGCTTTCACCCAAGGACATAAACATCGGGTTTGTGCAGTATTGCAGATTCCAATGAAACAATTATTTCCATCAGGCCAAAATTCTTTCACTCCGGTAATACTGATGAGTTTCGTAAAGAGTTGGAACCGTCCAAGTAAACCCTGAGTGATGAGTGGTATATGATGACTGGACAAAGTTTCCCAGAAGCATACGACTGGTTTCGCTGTCCTTGCCGCTCGAGATTCATTTATTGCTCATTATAAAAATATTGGAAACCGACCATAGGGTCGAGTTGGTTGAGGTTAGACGCATCCGACCCACAACACCTGATAAGGAATCAACGCAATGATATAATGGGACTTGTTCATCTCAAATCCACTCCCCGAGCTGCTAATGAGATTTCATTATATAAAAACTGATTAAATTACAGTTTTTCATATTTCATTTGAGTCACTCAACATTAGATGCTTGAATCCGGAGCGGATGAATAACCAGTGCACTTATAATCATATTCTATCCGATTTGATCCTCCGTAGATGTTGTGGGAGGTCATCAGTTCGAAACGGTGAACTATTTGTCCAAGTTCCTCCTACGACGGCAGAGGGTGATCCGAATTGTTGTTTCAGTGAAATTGATTCGCTATGGCAAAATACTAAGCCGGTCTTCAAATTGGCGAATACAGAAAGCCCCGGTTTGTGCTATTAAGGACCATACGCACATGTGTGTTGGTTTGTCGTACATTTTGAAAAAGAACCAGACTGAAGAGGGAATATGGTTTCGCGATACTCTAGAAGAACATTTTCTATTCACACTGTATTTCTTTATGTTATTCATAAAAGTGGTGTTTAAAATACACACAACTGGCCACCTCAATATTTCAAACTGTTTTTAATCAATACGAATGTTACTAAAACTATCCGTATATACTTTCCATTAGCACTGTATTTTCAATGCGTAGAAATACAATTCTGGTGGAACCTCACTGTAAATCATCAGTCATCTGATGGTACTTGAATACACCTGTTTTTCGAAAGTCTCTGTAGTCGGAGAATTAATGAATGATTCCGAGTGTTAGAAAAGTAATTGTATAGCAGCTGAAAACATCAATTATGTGTGCAGGACAGTGATGTCACAGCAGGACTGACCTTAAAGCTGTCGCATACAATCAATCCTTTAGAAATTCCTAAGTCATGAACACGTCACAGCGGGTCAAAACAAAACGCCCACTGCTGGGTGCAAAACGACAAATCCTTTCGAAGCATTCTAACCGGTACAGTTCGAATGAGGTCATCTCAATCCCTCCCCCCGGCGAAAAAAGGAGGATGCTAAATGCATAGTAAAGGAAGATATGAGACCACGGAAATGAAAACATGTTCGCAGTATGATTACGGCAAAGCTATTCTTCCTCTCTAATGCTCCTACATATTTTTTGGCAAAACATTTTTTTATCAAGTTAACGAACCATCGATAGAATATTGAAAACGAGGTTCGGTATGCCAATCAAGCTGTTTTGCTTTTGATAAATTCATCAACTCACCATTACAACTGTAAAGAGTTAATTGGGTTCGTCAATCTGGTTTGATGGCATCAAACTAAGTACAGACAGTACGCTTAGTTTATTTACTTGATCCTCATCTCGGCTATATCACTGCTGCATCCTCAGGGGGTGTATTCTTTGGTTTCTTCGTTCAAGGCTAAGGAAAAGATAAAACCAGAACGAACTGCTTTTGGTTGCGTAAAGGGGATCCGATGTTTGGATAGCTGTTGCCTCGGCTAAGCATATAATGACAAACAGAATTTTTTCTGACTTCTGATGAATGATGTCGAAAGCCTGATCACCATTGACTGAGTTTTGTCTCCAGTTGGTGTTGACAGCCAGCACTTCGGTTGTTTTCCGCATTTACTGCGGAATGAGATGTACGTTCTCACTATCACGAATTGTATGCAGTTTCTCCGTAGCCTAACCGCAGAAAATAGGGCCAAAACAGCTACAAGGCTCAGCTGGTAGAGTGTAAGCGCACAAAGTGCAGACGGCGTCCATGCGTGGGTTCGAATCCCATTGAGGCTGCTGATTTTTTCACAGTCGCCATACAAACTTCAAATCTGCTAAACAATTATTTGAACATATCAGTATTCCCCTAAACCGAACTTCCGAGTGATGTTCGAAGGTGAAATATCACTGTAAATTTCACCCAAATTTTAATCCTACGAAACCGCTGATTTCCAGATTTTATTCGTGTGTTACTGAGGTCAAATCCTTTTGGTCCCATTTTCAATGGGAATGAGGGCTACTGGTTGGATCATTACTCGTTCACAATTTGGTGTGTTGTAGTGACAGTTATATTTTAATGTGAAGAGAAAATATCAACTATTTCCTACTGATGTACCAGCACCAACAGCACATTTTGGTAATAATATCATGAAGAACGTTTTCTTACAAACCGGTTCATTTGTGATGGTGATTTGCGGACTTGAAACGGAGCGGTTCAGGTTATGTATATCCGTTGCAAAGAGTTGTTCCATTTGCAACAATGTGCTGTCAAACAGTAAGTCATAAATCTACCTTACTAAACCCATGCCCATCTTTGCATTTGGAGTTTATACAAACCATGAACCGCATTGACGTGGCCTCCAGAGCGAGTAGAGGAACCATTAGACTAAAACGGAGATTGATCAAATCAGCATGGACGATACTTGCATCGGTNCCCCCCCCCCCAATATAATTCACACTCTGAGACGTGAACTCCGCACACTCCTTTGTGTTGCCTATACTAGCTGGCATTCATTTTAGACTTGGTGAGCACGTAGTAGAAGAGTCTGATAATTTTTGTATCTTCTAGACAAATATTACTAACTATTTTATCTAATTAGCTATTATCTCAAATCATTTTGTTCACACTATCATCCCTCACACCCGCACCACCAGTACCACCTAGAATGCATTAAAACTGCACTTCCTCAAGACGACCTTCACAAATCAAATTCGACATCATCAGTACAGTTCGCACTCAACTAGCACTTCTGACATTGCATCGCTCACCCCGAATGGATAAACGTAAGCTGTATGTAATTAAATACCAACTGACACTCGTTATTTCAAAAGTACGTACAGGGAAACTAAGTGTCAAAATATGGTATCGTCGATCTGGAATGTAAACTCAATCAAAGTATGCTATACTGTCCGCGTTCGCGGTGGGTTGGAACTTGGGCAAATGGGCAATCAATAAAACTGAATTTTGATAATCTTGGCGTACCTCTTTTGTTCTGCAGATTACATTTTAACTACAAAACATCTGCACCACTTAAAGCTGATTAAATTGGGTTTACTCTGTTGTTAAAATGCTAAGATCATCGGTTTTTCATGCTTTTGACTCAGTGCGAGTCGTTCGTATTCATCTTTGTTCCGTATTAAGGGCGCGCTTTACGCTAATTTCAATGAATCACAAAGCTTTTCGGCTTGACGTCCTAGGTGTGAGTTGACGGCAGTTTCCATGACATCTAATGCATGGTACAACCATCAGTCAAATTTATTTCTACAGTTGTCGTTGTTTACTTTACAATTTGATCCCTGAATTTTAGATTACTTTTAGTGTTTGTGCAATAAGAGAACAACTGGATGTGGGACTGAAACACAAAAGGAATGAACTGTGATTGGCACGAGCGGGCTGTGCTTAGGTGTTTGAGGACCTATCGACCTACCTTGTTTACTTTCTTTTTTAAATTCAATAAAAAATGGCAAAACATTTTATTGTGAACTAAAAAGCGATTTATAGAAAACGGGATGGATTAGGCTGGGTTGTTCCAGCTGTAACACAACCTCTTACCTAAAGGATCACCACAGAAGTCACTAAAGTAGTAGTTAGATTGTCCTTGATCTACAAATTGAATTTGCTGAACAGGCATCAGTTCATTTTCACTAATAGTGTTTTCTATTAAACCCTGTTTACCATCATTTGAAAATTTGCGCAATAATAAGAGAGAAANAGAGAAAATAAACCATATGTTCCATTTGGCTCGTGATGACCGATCCGGACGCAGACAGCATTCAGTGGACATTAATCTATTGTGATGAAACTTCTTTCCGGTTCGGAAAAGCATCCAGTATTTTCTTTTACCGAAGGTAAATGTAACGCAGCTGAAAGTTTGCATGATATTCTGGACTGAGAAATGCCGCTTGATCCGAATGATTGTTTCGTCTGTGGTCTTCGTAACCTAAACCTGACAACCCGTCTGCACCTTCAGGACATCAAAATCTGTGGAAAGCCTTCTTTCGTCTAATTGTATTTTCTCTGGATAGAAAAGGTCACAAACCAGAATACAGCGGGTGGTTGCTTTTCACGCTGTCGATTGAACATCGTTTGTTACATGACTAATTGATCAGTGAACCAAACCAGAACGCTCAGTGCACCTGGCGGGGCTAAACTATGCACATAATTACTTCCGGTTCGGTTTGGACAACGCGAAAGTTCTGTGATTTTAATCTGATTGTGAATGCGACGGAACTTTACTACAAGGACAGTTGATACGCATGAAAGTGTGCTTGTGCCCACGATATTTATATTCTAGTTCAGTTTTATGCAGAACTACACACGTGAACATCCCGGGGAATAGCCCCTTTCAATTGAAACCGTCCTTGCCATCGTAAACAAAGCATCGCGAGACCACGTTTTCTTATCTCTCAGCACTGTTTTCTTTTGTATTCCCTATTACAGGTAATGATAATGCGATCCTATCCACATCCGAATATTGTGGAAATGTTTGCCAGTCACCTGATTAAAGATGAACTTTGGGTGGTTATGGAATATTTGGAAGGTGGTGCACTCACGCGAATTGTGGCTCGAACATTGTAAGTCATTTTATCCGATATACCTTTTTATTTCTACCCATTGATTCACTAGCACAGTTGTTATTTTAACTGTAGATAAAAGAACAATTGTATCACTATTTCTGCTAACCGCACGGGAGTTGAAAAAAAAACGCATTACACGTTCCTTTGTATATTCAAACTGGCATTGAAATGATACTTCTTCAACAAGTTATGCACAAATTGCTACAACTTGTTTCTTGAAGGTACATGATCAGTTCTATATTATTTAGTGCTAATCAGATAGAATAAATATTATCCACAGTTACAACGAGGTTATTACACGAAGAGAGTGGTTGTAAAATAAAAATACTGACAGTTTTAATTCATAATTGGCTACCATAAAACGATTGTTGTCCATTATTTAACAATAGGGATTTATAAGCTTTCGTGATGACAAGGCGAATGAAATTTTTTTTGATTTCTCTACTGGATATGACGAACGCCAAGTAAACTTAGCAATAGCAATTATTTGTTGCTCAAATTGTTGTGAATTAGTGGCTTTAGTTTTCCGATCGAACCTACAGTCCCATCCTACAGGTCGAAGTTTTATTCCGTGGATGTATTCTCGACTTTCTTGAACTCAGTACAGAATGTCTTTGTTTCGTTCAATTTGGCATCATGAATAATTCCGTAATTGATGACTTTTCATTTGCGCTTCAATGCAAATTTCAGTCGGAAAAATGGGATGCGTTTCATCACTGATTAAATTCTTACCAAAGCAGAACTGTTCCAATGCGTATCGTGCTGGTGCAAATGAACTTCATTTCACAAGTGCCAACTGAGACTCAAATCTGCAGGTTTGACCAAAACTTCCCACAACACTCACATCAGAGCAATCTGAAAATCGATCTCCCTTAAATCATTTCCTATTTGTTAAACTGGTAACCCAAATTCTCAAACGACTGAACTTTCGAACTACAACTGTCACACGGAACAAAGATGAGAGTACACAGCCGTGGCATCTTCCATGCCGTAACCACGGTCTTGTTCTCAAAATAATGCTATAATTTTACTGACGAGAACCGAAAATGTACCAGCTGTTTCGCATCCATTTTATCCAATGTTTTTCTGTAAATTGTTCTCAAGCACGTTAAGGCCGAAGTAAAATTGGAATTTCAATGGTAAATTGGAAAAGAGTTATCTGTTTCTGACGCATCATGAACGTTTGTCCAAGGATATTTTCCTGGAGGTCCTCAAACCCAAAACTTTTTTCCTAGGCAAAGATATCGTCTAACACTAGAAGAACTATTGATTAGAAGCATGCAGCTGTCTAATAAGACAACACAGTGTCTGGTAATCGGAAAACATTGAAAGGACAAATGTCCGGCTGAAGCCGACCTGATTCGGGGTCACGAATACGACAGTTTATACAACAACGTTATCCTTGCCTGAGCTTGATGCTGCATGCATTAAACCATGTGTAAATCAGTCAGACCCTGAAAAGCAACACACTTACCATGTTGTAATCATTGCTACCCGAGCGAAGTACAACTTGTGATGAATCTATCTTAGTTGCAAATACTATCAACTGTAGGTTACATCATGTTTCAACCTTTGACGTTCCTCTCATAGTCTGGTTTGAAGCAAGTTCTATTTGGTGTACGTAAATTCACTAACTGAGCTCACATGGGGCATACGACTTGCTCTCCCACCGAGCTTGGTAAATGTTCAAAAAACACAAAAAGGAAAATCCACTTTTACCCAATCCGGATTTCGGGTCATATCACTTCAGTGAATGTTTGTTTATTCGTTCGTATAAACCTTCTGAGAACGGAGAACTGAGAACTGGAGGAGTGATAAATGGGGACTTAAATGTAGATAACAAAAAATAAATAACTTCACGAACTATTCTGTTTCGCAAACTCAGCCTTTGGTGTGTTACAGTTCTTTAGTCAGGTTTTCATACCGCCTTGTCATACCATCCTTTGACAACAAGTATTTGGCCGATAAAGAACGGTTCTATGGACAATAATTTCTCAGCCTGCGTGGTCACACAGCATGTTCGTTTCATTTAGTCAATCATACACCTGGAAAACACCTCACCAGGGGTTTGCTTTCAACTAACCTGTGAGAAGGAAACACGACTACCAGAATGTTAAGATGTACCTTCATTTCGTTTTTTTGCAAACTTTTGGTGATTTGAGATAGAAAGCCAAACCATTGTTAGGACATTTTAAGCAAATATTCCTTATATTTCTATACGGAGAACGAAACCCTTATAATGAGAAGGCGGTACCCGTTTACACACTGACGCGCTGTCTAAGTTACCTGAATTCTTTTAGTGCTTCAAAGGGCCACAGGGCACTAAGAATTAATCGTTCAATATTTCTATTGATTTATATTTCTATCCACTCTGATCCACAACATACAATAAAGCCGTTTTTTGTCTTATCGGCTGTGAAAGAGAACATGCGGAAACTTTTTAACTGCTCCGTTTGCTTAGTGTTCCGATCAAAGTCAGTGGGGGATTGTTCCCCCACCACCACCACCACCACCCAGTGCAATAGCTTGCATGTTTGCTTCCCGTGTTTGTGCCCGACTCACGTCATGTTTGCTCCATAGGATAACAAAGTGACACTTTACTTGTTGACATTCATTGCATGAAAGGTGTATGTGCTGTTCCACTGCAGTTCTATGCGTTTTAGTTTACGTCATTCGAACCGGGAAGGAACGCTGAACTCTGTTCGTCTGTGATCGGCAGGTGTAAAAGATAACAACTATACGTTGCACAGTACGCAGTCGAATGCCCACAAATACAAATCACGCATTGAAATGGGTGTGCTATATAGAAGTACAAATTAATCAATAAATTCCAGTTGTCGAATTTCACTGGAGATCTGCCTGATACCATTCTGGCAGGTGCGAATTGCTTATTACTTTTTCCCTCGAACTACACAGAAAGTGCATCTCGAAAAGTAACTCATAGAGGAAAACCTCACGTGCTGTTGTAATTTGTTTGTAATACTTTTTATCAATCTATACGATCTGTTCTTTATAAATCAGTTGGCAATAATTTCAATCAGAGGCCTATTCTTCCTTTCGCAATTTGATTCTGCCTCAAGAATTCATTTATTCAATTCTACAATTTTAAAACTTGCCGATTTGCTCGCTAAAAATGCTGCACACATGGTGAGGTTACCAAGGTTCAAAGAGTTAGAAAATAAGTACAAGAGTTAAAAAGCCTCATTTTGTCCCACACCTCAAACCATGTGGATTCAGGCAGGTTTTAAAATTTTCATTGCAGGTACGTTAGTGGCACATGTATCCCTGAGTTCCTTATATAGGTATATATATATGCAATATTTACACCAATTTATTATCCATTATATTTCGTGACAAGAAACAACCACCAAAGGGTGGTTCTTGATATTTAAACCTTCGTATGACTGAATTGCACATTTACTATAATGCGATTGTTCGTGTGTTGCATCGTGACAGAGGTGATCATGATTAGTTGCTCAACGTTATTTCGCATCAAATCGGCCTCACCAAATCAGACCAGTTGGCATAATCCGTGGAAGCTCCGTTGCTGGCTCAACTCTAGATTACATTTGCCCTGAATAAGCAACCATCATAAACCCAAACATCAACAACAACAATACCAGAAAATAATTCATGACTAATTGGAAAAAGTTCAGTAAAGATCACGGTGATTTCTGAGCACATTCAATCCTCTTTTTGGTTTGAAAATGACCGGAAGATGAGAACTCACGTTCAAACCTGTTGAAAAATATCCTTTTTGCTCTAACCGTTTCAACTACACATATCTTCTTGTGTTGAAAAACGTTTTGTACCATCAATTTATTTGATTCACTCATTTTTATCGACCGTTTGCAAATAAGCACTTGCAAATAGTTGCACGTTCACCCCTGTGAAATAGAAGTGGATTAACGGCAGTAGGATCGAAGTGTGTGATGAAAACTGGGTCAAAAAATTATTTACATAAAACACATTATAATGCATGAATGTGTTTGTATTGGCGAATCATTCAAATAAATCACCCCACTGTTTGACTACACGCCCTGTTGCCTCGTCCGTACGAACCGCAGGATGTCTGAACAGCAAATGGCCACAGTTTGTCGTGCTGTTCTCAAAGCACTGGCTTTCCTACATGACCATGGGATCATTCACCGGGATGTAAAATCAGACTCGATTCTCCTTTCAATCAATGGTCACGTGAAACTGTCGGATTTCGGATTCTGTGCTCAAGTAAGTCATTTTGTTTCGTTGTTCACAAATTTGCTGTCAGTAATTTTCTTTTAAATGGGGTAAAATCTACATAGATATTCCCAAGTCTTCTCTCCGGCCTCGTCAAATTTGCGCAGTTTGTAATTTTTGTAATTTTCGCCGCGTGTGGCGAAGGAGCAAAGAAAACAGCTGGTTTTGAGAAAATTTTATTTTCACTGTGGATTTTTACGATCGCTGAAGACGTACAAAATCTCGGTGGTCCTAATCCCCTTGAAAAGCTTTTAGGAATGCAGAATAGATGAACAAAAGTTCTATGCAAGTTTATAAACAATCGTGGGAGGTATTTGCAAAAGCAATCTATCCGATGATCTACAGCGACCTTTGGTTATCTATAATAAACCATATATTGTGCCGGTGGTCTGTGAATAATCGAATGGGTCTTATCAAAACAATCCTTTGAATATTTATATCAATTTTCCTCTCTTGTTGACCTCTAAGATTTGGATTTTAACTTTTCCGATTTTAAATCTATGGATTACGTTTGACTGCGGTAATCCTATATGAATCTCATTAACCCGATAGACGTTGAACTGCGCGCTCTCAACTACACATCCTCCCTTGTCAGAACTTGCAACTAATCATGACCAGATCTAAGTGGCTCTCAAGGGAACGCCGTATGGCTACTTTTTTCCTAGGTAATAACACATCCCATGACTGACCAATACTATTGCTAAGCTGTTCTGGCCCTCACACTAGCCAGCATAGCAAGTAGTTGGTCAAATATGTGTGTGCGTATGTGCTCAGTTTGTGCATATTTGTACCAGCACATTCAGAAATTTGTATTTCTAACAATTTCTGATAACCGTGTTCACTCGTCAGTATTGCATTACTCTGAATCGCCCTTGTCAGCCCCCCGCCCCGCCCCATCTGTCTCTCATCTAAAATTGCTCATAACTTAAATTACTGCATGCTTGGTCCCAAGTGCATAGTGTGCTATCTGTTCCCACCTCCAAAACTCGTGAGTGCCCCATTCTGGATTTCGGAGTGATTTTTGGTTGCTGCTGCAGATACTCTAAGGCAACTGATGCCGAAAAAACAGGGGGTCTATTATATTCAACCTCTGTCCATCCTACTGTTCTCAGCACCTGAGAGTTGCATTAGGATTGATTGAAGTGATTTTAAATTGCTTCTGATAGCCAGAACGTTGATGGCCAGGTAGGAGTAAAAACTATTAAATGAATGAGTATGTGGGTGGTATTCCATTGTGTTTTCTGGGTGTGAATAGCGTCAGATGCTCACACTGCCCAGTTTTGTTGAATCCAAGCGGAAGAGTAAGGCCCAACTGCACTCAGCCTAGTCCCCATTCTCCTCGACATATCAAATCCAGAAGCTGATATAAAAATTATTTGTTAAAATGTTTAACCTGTCCAAATTCAATTTCTACGTTTGTCTCACACTCTCGTAACAAAAAATATCTTTTTAAAAGTGGATTATTTGTATCTGGATCAAACTACGCTAGTGTTAAGAGATCAGAAAGGAATTCTGGGCCGGTCGGAAAATTGATTCAGGAGCACGCATAAATTGTACTCCGCTAAGATAAGATCAATCATGGTATTTGCAACTCAATATACTCGTATACAGGGGCTTAAGTTGTCACAATTATGGAACCCTTAAAATTAAATTCACTCGCCACAATATGGATATCAAAGTGAAAAAAATTGCATGGATAAAACGAGAGTTTTTTCAAGTCGTTTAACAAGAAAACTGAGGCCAATCCGTTCGACTTTGAACTACCCAACTCATCCACAGGTGAGTGAAATGTATTTCCAACCAACCAACTTCTATCGCATGATTGAAAATGTCACAGCATATCTTTTGTCTTCTATCTCTGTCTGACTGTTGCTCCGTGCTATATCTGAAAGGGGCAAACAACCAGAGGATAATTTCCAGACTGAAGAACTTCAACATCTGGATGGAACAACGTTGACGAGATACTGACTGATGGATGGTGGAGCGCAAATAGGTTTTTCTTATGCACGAATTCTACTGCATACTTTCTGACTGCCTCTTTGTGTGGAATGATCACTCTAAAAGAGCCGTATTCGACTTCAAATGTGAAAATAAGATATCAGTGTGTGTTTGTCCAATAGATTAGTATCTATGACAAATGCCCTAAATGACGAGCATATTTTTATGTGATAGTGTAACAGAATACCAGATCATCAATGAGGTCCTGATCCACAAACAAAGACCACCTGTTCATATATACAAGGTAACTGCTGAGCTTTGATAATAATTCGATTCCGCAGATCCGGAATTACTGTATACATACGACATTTAACTTTTATTTTGATTACCGCACCAAATTTCAACCGTCGGTTAAAATCGCATCGGTTTGAAGGTTTTCGAGGTTTAATAGTGTGAACATGTCTTAAAAATGTATATGTCCAAAGCAATGTTAAAAGTTCCGCCCACCTTTTTAATACAGTTGGTGGTACCAGAAGTCCTCCTACGCCAGAAACATGCACATCCAGCACTTCATCTGGCAAATAGTGCGTGATGAAATCTCTAAATTAATGCACACACATATAGTCAACCGAAGTGTGAGAAATTATAACTCCTAATTGTCGGTGAATACCAGAAACACATGGATAACGAGGAGAAAGAAGTGCCTTTTATTAATTTTTGCCTTCATATTCCATAGAATTGAAAACATTTGGTCCTCCGGTCACCAAAACGTGTTTCTAACAGGAAATATCATCTTGTTTTCACAGTCAACTCAAAAAGGCCTTGTGTTTTGTGCAGACCGTTTACTTCTGAAGGACAGAGTTTTGCCCACTTGTTAAGCGTTCTAAATGGGCAAGTACAGCCGGAACTGAGACCGTTTCCTTTCATCTTTCATTTTAAGTGGCCTCATGATAAATGATCGTCTCATCCACGATTGTCCTCAGCACTTCAGCCTGACTTTTATAATTCTGTAATTTATAGACAACTTGTAAATAAAGTCAATGGCTGTCTGTTTCACTGTGAGACTTTCCAGGCGTATCAGTCAAAGAGCGTTTTTTTTCATTAGTTACATTATCTAACACTGCCACCGAATATAATCGGTTCCTCCATTTTGTTTTTCAAAAAACATCGTCAGTATCCCAGGTAAGCTGTATGAAATACTTGGGGATTGTATCCAGAATAATCTTCACTGGACCTCTTACACTCAGCATACCCTCACCAAACTTCGACGGGTTTCTTTTCGAATCCAAAAAACAGCAACTCAGAATTTAATGGTCAATTATCTTCAAATTCGATCATAAGTGTGTTTTCACCATTGTACTTTATCGTTCACCTATTGTTTCTTTTTCAATCTCCGAAGGATACACTTTGAACTTGTTCCACGAGGACTGACCATCATTAGCCGGGTCTCTTCAATCCCGCTGGAGGAGCTGATAACTAATCCGCGTGAATGTGGTTTGAATGCATGTGAAAATTTTACTCACCGGATTCTTATGGTCCCACTTGTCCACTGCACACAAATTTAATTTCCTCCGGTTCCCATCCATCAACTAGATCCGAAAACCGTTGTCTTCCCTCTCGAAAAAGCCCATGTCGCAACCCCACAGCATCTTCTTTAGCCCGTATTATAGTTAACAAAGAACAGATTTTCACAGACTGTGTTATAACTTTCGAGACTTAACATTTCTGTCCGATGTGTACACTATGGACTGAAATGTAGTCTGTACGCCTGCATAAGACATAATTAAAATTAAAATTACTTGGTTCTTATATTCTTAATCGTTCACTCCGTACAATTAGTAGCAAACAGTATTCAAAAGTGCTCGTCTTTATTACCAACCGGAACGTAAATAGATTTTTTGGTGCATAGGTATTTATGGAAAAAGATAATACTAGACTTATCACGGAACTGCATTTTCTTCAAGATTGTTGTGTTGTATTTTTAATTAGTAGCTGGGAGAACTGAGTTTCACATGTATCTGCAACTGGTTTGGTTTGCTAAAATCATAGAATGAAAAGCGTTCACCTCGTCACTAGCGCACATGTGCATTACGCTTTAGCCTCAATACGTCATGTGATCTGTTCTCTCGCCGGTTACGTTCCGATCGAATTTCAACTCCCTCAATCTCTTTTACCGATAAAGATAGGCTGAGAGACAATCAAGTCTGATCCCGCTGTGAATGCACTTTCGATCAGCATTTTTCATTTTCCCTTCCGATTCGTTTTTGTCGCCTTCTCTGCCTCCCCTATCTCTCCAGTAAAGTACGATTTATCTCAATAGGCACCCCCTGGTGCACCAGTCTGAATTTATTTGCGCTTAGCAAGTATTCATCATTTTACTGCGCTGGTTCACCTAAGTCGGAGGTACCTCTGTTTGGATGGTTGTTTTCAAACTCGAAAAGAGTTACACTGTCAAAATACTCGATCACGGTCGCACAGTTTAAACCGTAATCCTATTTTGCGTAGCCATCAGCAACGCGTTCTCACACCTTCGCACGATCTTCGTTTCCACCGCCATATTTAGAAGGATAGCTTTATTGGTTAACGAATCAATTACCCCAATGACGAACACATGGCCTTACATTCCATCGGCTTCCGCGGACCCAGCGCGATGCAGCATAACAGCCTAATCCCTCCGATTTCTGACGTTGTGTCTAGCCTTTATTAATTTGCATCTCGTGACTGACCTGTTTACTGAACACATCAATAGGTAACAGTATTAACTTTAATTAAAAGTTAGCAGAGAACAGAAAACAGGTTAAAACTGTTACGCGTTCTTTATGAACCAATCCATTGTAACTTTCGGGAAAACTGAGAGCTGTCAAATACAAGTTTCATTAGAAACTTGTATTAGACAGCTCTCAGTTTCCTCGAAAGTGCTGATTTTCAGGGCCGAAAATCAATATGATGAATATTGATTATTGTTGCACAACACTCAAGGTTTCACGTGACAAACTATTAATTGGGATCTGTTCAGTCGCCTTTGAATTTAACCCACGAAACAACTGACAAGCGAGATCCGTTAATCACGTAACTGCGAATGAGTTCATCTCGGGATCGCTGTGTATGATACAAAATGCACTGTGTCGATAATTCCGTGATAGCCCAAAAGATAGAACAGCTTTCCATTTTGATACCCTTGCATTTTTCAAAGCAAGAATAATCTTGACAGTGACACTTAAAGCATGCCCATGAACAATACCTTTTATCCCCGTTTACTTTTGTCAAGCCAACAGTTTCTTTGTATTGTATTCGTCTAAATAAGTGAACAAGAATTTCTGCAAAAATTACTGGTGAATCAGACAAATAAACTAAAACCAGCATTTGCCTATAGAATTATATCGCTTGTTATAAAGAATCCCGGCCCAAGAAAGCCACAAATTCATAATCCCCTGAGAGCACCCGTCGTCTAATAGAATTGGACAATCATTCTTTCGCTCTCTCTCTCAATGGCGCACGAGCGCTTTCAGATCAAATAGCACTTACCGCAATCCATCAATCTGGCAGACACTCAAGTGAACCAGTTCGGGATAAAATTCATTTGAAGGAGCAACGAAGAAGCTTGGCGTTCAGTCTACTCATATCAGAATCACATCAAAATTTGGATAGAAACACAAGACTCATAATTAGAGAAGTACAACAGAACAACGAAGCCGATTTGAAGAAACGGTAGCAATAATTAGTATCCCATTTTGGTCAGCGCATCCAGTCTCAACGCTCGTGTAGCTTAGAGAATAGGAAATTGGAATCAAACACAAAATGACAGTTTGGTAAAAAGCATTCCTAAATGTATGCCTGTTCCTCTTCAAAAAGCAAAGAAATCGAATCGAAAATCGGAACAAGGGAGGCTTTTATCCTCTTCGTACAGTCATCGTCTGTTTATCATCAGTGTTTAATGAAGTTCAGAATTCATGAAAAATTCAAAACCGAGCACATACAAAAGCACGCGATGCAAGACTAAACAGGTATGATCTGTATAAACATGTGGCAACCGTGATGTCCTATGATCCTAAGCCCCACGGCCCTGTGATCGATCACATGACTCAATTCGAACGCGCGCATGGCATGACCTCGGGCCCGCAGAAGTTTACGATCGACTTCCTACGGCCTTCTATCCAACCAATTCTTATTACATGACATGTCCAGATTCATACGCTGAACACAACCCTCACGAAACCAGCAATTGACATGAAGCGTGAACGTAGACTAACAACGACGACATGTTAATGCATTAAAAATCACTTCAGATATCGGATCCAAAATATGCATCGCAAATTCCTAATGCACATTCTCAGTGTTCGCATTCTTTTACTGGACATCAAACCAGCATTATTGGAACAGTTGGATTTCACGGAAGCCAGATACATCATCAAGAGTGTTGCTTCTGGTTTTCCAAACCAGCAGTTTTAGTAACCACACACAATTCAATAAAAATCAGAAAGTTTTGGCACCGTTCAAGTAATATTTGTGCTTGAAACTAAAGAAGTAGTAAAACAATCTATTTTGAATAAAAGTATGGTTGAAGAAAGAATAATGAGGCAACACAAAATGCACAAAATCCTTCCCCTTAAAACGCCCCTTGTTTGTTGCTATGTCAGTTGTTTTCCGTTTGGCTGGATATCACAGCCATGGATAAAGACACGTTGTTCAGTACCTGGTAACTTGATACAATTTCCTTTCACTGAAAAGCATCATATTCATTCGCTCACCGAAAATCAAGTGTATGCTGGGTTCACAAAATCTTTTTGCCTTGAAATTCGATCTGTATGGTTCTGTTCCGTCAAGGGCTATTTCCAAAAACGCTAGCTCTTTCAGAAATCTAACTGCTGACCGGTTCAACTTTGATCAGTCGAAACGGAGTAGGGTGCATATGTTACCAGCGTCGAGGTCTTTCCGTTCCGATTTCGAAAGTACTGAGGTCCTCCAACGATTAATGGCCAGTAGTAATGATGGTAAATCCAGTACTACCCACTTTGAAACGCAGATCGTTGCACACGTTCATTTTTTGCGCATATAGCTTTTATATTTTATTAAATACCAGCACCAGTATGCGTTCATAGGTCTGAGGAAAAGAAAATGATAGACAACACCGACAGTTTGTAACAATCTCCTTTTCTGTATGTCTGTTTGTCTACCACAAAGGAGTTCTCAGTAAATTTATAACTGTTTTACTATCAATCACTTCGTCAAAAAATGATAAAAATGATTCATGCTTTCCATTTTTTTTAATTTTAATTGTTTGGAAAAAGCATTGCTTATTTTATACATTCATAACCAAGGGACATTTTTTTAAACCTTTGTCGATATCTCGATAATCGAATAAAAATAAACTTCTGTGCAGACTGCAAGTTTCATCGAATTCTGCTCACCTAAATGTGCGTTCTACTTTCCAACCCATATGTTAGATTACTCCAGAGATACCTCGGCGGCGTAGCCTGGTTGGTACTCCCTATTGGATGTCTCCAGAGGTGATCAGCCGAAAGCCATATGGGACTGCAGTGGATGTTTGGTCTATGGGCGTCTTACTCATTGAAATGGTTGATGGAGAACCGACCTATTTCAACGAACCTCCGCTCCGAGTAATGCGTCGTATTCAGGAGGACGCGGTACCCCATCTGGCCAACCCACACAAGGTAACTCAGTTTTCTCTTTTTCTTTCAATTTGATTCACCCCAGTTCAAACGTTAGATGATCTGTGCACTTCTAATATTATAACTCAAATGTGGAAATTGATCAAAGTATCATGTCAGCCACAATTGGGCTAAAACTGGGAGTATATGATCAGTTCGTAAAAATATAAATCTAACAAATTTCTATATTTAATGCTTATTTTCTGATACTGAAAAATGCGATTAATACTCAAGGCCTATTGGAATAAAGATCGATTCCGACGACGAATAGCATTTGTAGGTAAAAGAAAATGAATGACTGAGTGGGACTGACTGGGCTCTTTCCTATCCACTACTGGATACCTTGAAACAGACTGGATGAAACTGTGCTTGCTTTTTGTTTCGGTTCCGTCCCATTTTACGAATCGCTATAAACTTTCGTCATACGGAAGCCATAAAAATCATAAGCCATGAGCTCTACGCATTTGGGACTACAGTCAGGATTTGTTTTGGACAAAATACACTACACATTGGAATTATTTATATGTATATTCATGGCTTTATATTTAACAAATTGATGAATCGAATAACTGCACATTTGAACTAATGCAGTCACTGCTTTCGCTGCCAAAAGAAAGTTGTCTTTTAGTTTTCTAATAATTCACCGTTTTGTTATTGATCACTGAATTTGGCATGCAATCATGCGATGGGACTGTATACGGCGATCGATATGTAACTTTTAAATTTTAGCTCTGCTCTCATCCTCAATCGGGATAAATTTATGGTAGTTACTTATCTATCTTAACGGGTTTTTGTTCCCCTATGAGAAATTCACAGATACTTAAAATATGAATTCAAACTCAATTGGTTTAGCGGAGGTCGATCGTAGGAAATAAGATTCAAAGACTTATCATGAGCACTTAGGAGTTTGTGAACATTTTCAACTATAACGTGCTGTTTAGTAGTGATTTCACACATTCCTGAAACGAAACTGTGTAAACGGAGCCTTTATTCACGGCAATGGCAAATATTCTCAGTCCGATTGTTTTGCACCCTGTATTAATGGAGATATTTACGGAATCATTTCAATTGTTTAAACTTTTGGAACTGATAATTACCATTCCAAAGTGACTTCTTGCCGTACTGACGGATTAAAACGTTCAAGCCCAGCACCAAGGTTAGTTTCCAAAACGATGAAAGAAACAATTTATGGAACGCTCTTCATTTTATATTACAGTAGCAATCTGGGCTTCTTCATTTGCTGTTTAGATTTCTCTTCTGCATACATTGACTGGTGCTAGGAAATAAGAGAGATATGGGAACGGTTGGAATAGTAGCAACAACCGTTTCGGAACACTTGGGCCCATTAGGTTATGTTTCTTATTTCTGGTACTTTGTCTATCAAAAAGGGGATTTTTAGCCAAGTGTTTTTCGGTTCTTCGTTTAGGTTTACGGAATTTCACACTTTCCGTCAGTAACTTGAACCTATAAACCAAATTAAGCCCACTAATTGGCATCTGGAATGAAATTGATCTAACAATTCTGTAGCCTAGCATTGCGCTTAAAACGAACAGCTGAACGTTCACCTACTGGTAATCGATCGGATTGCGGTTGAGTGTACCCAAAGGAAGAATAAACTATCTTGTTGATTAAATTTTAGCAATGGAGGTAGGGACGAATGTTTTTCTCACTCGGAAAATCACAATGTGACACCGACACGTGAGGATACCAGGACATTTGGGGATATAATTTACCGATCAAAACCACCCCACTCGTCAACTCAAAATGAGTTTTGATTCAAACTGTTCGAGTTGGCCATGAGATCAAAGTTGAATGCCGTTATGATTGTGCAAACTTCATTTGTTTCCATATCCGTCCTCACGCAGGCGGTGGAATTACCGTAACAAGCAAGAATAATACGTTATTTGAATGTGTGCTACGGGGTCATGTTGATTAGTTGCTCTGGATCGATGGTGAATTAATGAATAATGACCTTACCCGAAGCAAGTCCTAACTCCCTCTAGCCGTCTCTCGACAGTTTTGCGCTCTTCTTGTGGTGCCTCTTCATATTCAGCTTTTGAATCTCAGTATATCCAGTGCAGGAACGCACCATGGGGCATTTCCGACAAACATGTATGTTCCCACATCAACGTATTTCAAAAGGGAGTGGTGGGAAATTTAGTTTTGTTTGGGTTTGATGTTTTTCGTACATG